GAAGCACATGAGCGTCTTTCTTTTGTTTATTTTTTAACCCTTTGACGACCGCCGTTATGAATGCGTCACTTCACTTCTTTCTAAATTTTTTCATCAATAATCATTAACTCTCCAACAATTTCACTATTAGTAATTAGCGCATTATTCCGCGAATTCGATAATGTATTTGTGTAGTTTTGAAACATAAAAAATGCCAAAATAAACCCCTAAAAACGTGTCGCCACCGAGCGAAAGTGTGGCCCACCGGCGGGCCACACGGTCGTCAAAGGGTAAAAAACTGCAGCCCTGTGACACTGATTTCTCATACTCATCGCCCAGCGTATCTCCTGCTTCGATCTTTATTACGCTCCTCTTCCAGTAACCAGGGAAATCGTTCCGAGAACCAAGTTACACATCCACAAAATTACGACTCTGCCTAAGAAAAAGAAAAACAGAAAAGCCACCTCTTTCCTTGCGTCGTCATTTATGGCGTGGGGTCTGCATTCGACGCTCTTTTCGTTTTTCGAAATAGAGGGTATATACCACCTGCTTCAGACCTCCAATCTTCATCCTTTGTGTCGTAATAATTCGACGGTCAACTGAGTTGAAAGGTCTGGTTTTCAGACATGCACCCTGCCACGTTTTGGAAAAGGAACATTGAGAAAATATGGCTGGGATCACTGGTAGAAACTCATGTTAGATATACAAATGGTCAAGAACAGTAATCATAAAAATATAAAATCAAAATCAAAAGTAAGAAAAAATGTTGCAAGACTTTCTTCCTTATAGCCTTAACTCTTTCTTATTACATCCAACGCCTAAATTGCAGCAAAAAGTTATTACGTATGAGCCGGTGTCAGACTCAATTTCAAAATTGGCTCTCGTCATTTTGCTAGCTCACGACGGCATGAGAGAGTGAGAAGGCATGAAAGTTCTCGTCCCGCTCGTTGAGACGCGCTCCACAAATTTCGTGTAATTTGCGCATCTAGCATCCCTTTCACCCTTATATACCTTATCACTTCTGTACCCCCACCAAACATTCCGCCTTCAAACTGACATTACTCTTGGAATAACGCCAACTGCTCGCTGAGCACACGCGCTATAAATTTCGTGAAATCGTTACCACTTTCTGTCCCCCACCGAACGTGCATGGGTACCTGCCCCCACCGAACATGTACACGGCAACATGGGCATGAGAGAGTGAGAGGGCATGAGAGCTGGAGAAAGTAGCGAGAATCAAGGTGCAAACGAGAGGGAGTCCCGCCACTTTCAAACAGTGTCGAGTAGCTGGTACATCTTTCAATCCCCTGGCACATAATTCGATCCGCTGTACGTGGTTCGACTCGCTCGTACCCCGCAAGTCGCTAGATTCGCAAAGTCTAACACCGGCCTATATTTGCGAGCCAATAGTTCAAAGAACTTAAATACTTACTTATTACAACCTAAAGGTAACCCCAAAGGTGATGAGTAGTCCGAGATGTGCTTGAGTTGTAGCCTCCCATTGATTCTGTTGTCTCCACAACACCTCTATAAAGATTGGGGGCTGAAGTTGATCGAGTCAGCTTTGGAAGAGAGACTCCACGTAGCTTGTCGAGCACCTGTAAAATGAATCAGAATACAAAACAGCGTTACCTTTTTCTAATTTCAGCAGATGTAGGTACAAGAAAACTGTGAAAATAGCTCGTTTAATACGAATAAAGCGCAGAATTTACAGAAGCATGTCGTTGAAGCAACGAAAAAAAAAGAATGCACGAACCTCGCTGAACTCTGGCCTCTCGTTTCTGTTGTACTTGATACAGCGTTCATATAGGGCCAGCAACGGCTTTGGAGTGTCCGACCGTATTTTCGAAACGTCCGGTCTGAGATAGCCGCGACCAACCTAAAAAACGATGGATGAGGTGATGACAATGCCGTACCATCCTAAATCGGCAACTCTGAGCCCACAAACATTCAATGAGAATCCCAGGACAAATGCGGTCGTTTCCACTCCAAATGATATTCTCCCTATGAATCGATTTGCCTAGTTTATGCAGAAACCAGACTATGAAAACTTTTCTCAAAGTTATCGATCTAGAAACGTTTTTGCAATAACACGCTTGTCATATCGATGACCTCTAAACATTGTCCAGCCATCAAAGAAAAATAGAAAATGATATAATGCAGTTTTTTCCATTCATAAACTCCCCCTCATAACAGGGCTACCTCTAATTGGTATACAAACAACCATCTATAAAAAATATGTATCGAATTGAAAAAGAACGCGTGAAATCCCTTACCATGAAAAGGATTTGGTCGCGATTATTTATGTTAGTATACGGCAGAGAGCTTGATAGAACTTCATACATGACTATTCCAAAAGAATATACATCAGATAAAGTAGTGTATGGATTGGAGTCTTGCATGCGAATAACCTCCGGCGCCTGAATTATGTTGATATTTTTTTATATTCACAAGGTTGATCCATTTCAACAACAGAACTTCTATATTCACCATCCATAGAATGCTGCCAGTAGGCTGCTGGCTTTGTTGCCCTCCACTCCAGCGAGTTTTCACAGTGGCAAGGCCAAAATCTCCTATTTTCACAGTACTCATGTCATCCATAAGGAAAATATTGTTGGTTTTCAGATCTCTGAAAAAATGCATGTCGCAGTACTACTGGTTCACAAACTTAGTTGACTTACCTATGAATTATATTTTTCGAATGCAGATAATTCATTCCTAGAGTTATTTGTTTGAAAATGTCAAGAATAGTGCTCATTTCAAACTCCACCCGAGGTTCTGAAAATTCCATAATTGATCGATGAATTTTCATCCAGCGGTGAAAAATACTACACACTATGATAATGCACTGAAACATCGAAAAAGCCACTTGTAGAAAATAAACATACCAACAACATGGATGTGTTTATATAAACTACTGCCTTCACACCACTGTGTTACAATGGCGAGTGATGGTTCACGAACCCAACCCATGAAAAGAAGCACATTCAAGTGACGCGTTTTCTTCAGCACAGCTACCTAAAAATTTCAAATGAGAGAACATCTGCTGAATTTTTGTCTGGGTTTACTCTTCAAAGAGCTCAAGAAGAGCTGAAAGATTCTACCCCTACGAATGAGCATCTTGTAAAAAGGACCGACAACGACACACAATACCAGATAGCAGCGCTGAAGATTATGGGCCAAAATGCTTTTTAACACGTTGACGACATCGCGCGTTTTGCGTTTTTGCACCGCGTGGGACCAGAGCGATTTTGCGAGCGCCGCCGCCGCACACCAAATCCATGGATTTTGAGCTGTAAATACGCAATACTTAGATGCGATGAAATGTTTTCAATAATGTTCGATCTGTCTAACTTATCAGGAGTTACAGTAATGGAAAGTTCGACCAAAATCGTTAGCGCACGCGAAATATGGTTTGGTATCGCTTGTATTATTCCGAATTATCAAAATGCTCACGTTATGAAAAAGAAAACGAGGAATTGACTGAACAAACATATCCGTAAGGTCTGGAAACCTCTGTCAAAGTGAAGAATTAAAGGTCAATTTGCCGTTTTTGTGAGGTACATGGTTTATAAGTATGCTAATGTATGGGAGAGAGAACAAGAGCCTTAGGAATAAAGTCGCGCATGCGCAAGAAAGAGGGATGACTTGGGTGGGACGCGTTACCACGTCACAATGTCCCACGAGGTGCGCAAAAGTGGGATGCGTTACGCAGTCGTGTTTAGGATTACTTTCCTCCCTTCAATGAAGGCCGTTTTAACATATTTCTAGACTTTTTTATATTGCGTTTTTACTGCAACAATCGATGCAAACATGTTTGCCGTCCAGCACAGGATTGATAATTTCTTTTATTGCCATGACACGTCCGACTGGTTGAATACTACTGTTATCCCTGAGTGGCTTCTGCATATTAATTTTGCTGAAATGATTTTGCCCCATTTATGCCTTGTGCATACGCAATAAAGTATGTGATTGTGGCGTTGAGGAATTGCGCTTCCAATTGCGCTCCAACGTGTTGCGCACTTTCGAATCCTGATGACCTCAGAATTCGAAAAAAAATAAAAGATAACAGATAAAAGCTTGAAACGAATGGATTAAAAGAAGATAGCGCACGAGAGCCAACATCGGGGATCATTTCTGACTGCTACTGCATGTTTCACACGTCACTGTTTACTTTTTCTTCTCTTAAGAACACTTTCACATATTTTTGCATACTAGTAAAGAAACAGAGGTGTTCCTGTATTCCGAAATGAGAAGAAAGACTTTAAAAAAGAATGCGATAAAGGACAAGGCCACTCAACGACTGCCCGCATATTCTTCCATGAAATGGTGTCCCGCATATTTTCCATGAAATTGTGTAAACTTTTTCTCTGCTATCATACATGGAATGTACAGTGTGACACCACACTTGGTGCGCCCCGCCTGTAGAGTTGTGCGCCAAAAAATATGTAGCTTGAGCATGCAAAGCGCATCCCGAGCTCCAACTATTTATCATTTTTAATTACTTCATCTCGCAATTTGCTATCGTGATGTCCAAATTGCTCTCACACTTGCGCCGTAGACGACGTTGCGAATAGTGAACGGTGCGGTCAGTACGGAAACTAGAAAGAGCGTCAACACACGCCCTATCGATGATGCGTAGTTGGCGTTCAAGAATTTGGTGAATAACAAAAATGGGATGGGAAAACAACACTACACTACCTCATTCTTGAAAGCTTGAAGCTGCTGCAGTGTAGGTTTCGCCCACATTTAGTTTCTTCACAGCAACGAGACCAAAGTACTCTCCGCGATACACCGTACCGAATGATCCAGAACCAACTTTACATTGTAGGGTGATTTGCTTTTCATCAATCTGAAAATTAGAGGCGATCAAAAGGCAACCCAAAATGTAGATATGTTTAAAGTATCCGTACCTCCCAATCTTCATGTGCAAGTTTATTTGCGAGAGCTCGAGTACGTTGCGGTTCCAGTCTCTCCCCTGGAGAAACGGCTTCTGCCACGGAAGAAGCCAGGAGAAAACTGGGAATCATACCATATAGGTGCAGTATGATAATAATGTACACTGGCATAGGAAAACATACCTTTTGAGGTGGAGCACTTTGTGGTGGAGTGAGAGGAAGCGCAGGTGGTAAAAGCTGTCCGGCATGTTGTTGGTTAGCAGGTGGGGATGAACAAGTACCTGAACACGAACAAATGCCAATATAGAATGGATGCAATTTCAATGAAAAATATGAAGGATACGGCTAATAATCTCGTTTGAGTGCAGCATAAGTATTCTCACATCACTTTTCGGCTGTCGTTTTCCAGCATAAGAAACGAAGGAAAATCCCAAACCCCTATCACACAGGGTTTGAATGGGAATGAGTGGAAAACTATTAGGACAAGTTACAGGGGCCAGAATTACGCGATGAAGTGGTTCACACTTTGGAAAACGTTCTCGATAATGCATACACTACTTCAGAAATGACAGCACTAATTATTTGGATATACCTAAAGGTTCTGAGAATACTGCAAATGCTACTGCATCATGCGAAGAAACCAGCAGATCAAATAATGATGGTCAATTTGAGAGATATAAAACTTACTAGAAGGTGAATTGGAACCAAAGGGAGAAGTGTCAGCACGTGGATGAAGGCGATTTGGTGGCCTTCTCACCCCCAAACCTCCTCCTGTTGGAACAGCATTGATTGCTGTAAGCTGCCCGCTTTGGAACTGTGATCTGGGTTTGTTACATCGTAAATATGTACGCGAAGCTGCTTCGGATTCGGCTGGAAAATTTCTTTAGTATACTTAAAAGTAAGGAAAAAATGCAAAAGAAAACCAACCGTGTTGCTGCATTTCCAGTGCGTCCAAAATACGCTGCTGCAAAAGACAAACAATCAAATTCAACGAAAAAAACGTCTATAATTTCAGGAACTTCACAGCGTAATCTTTGAAGGCAGTGATCACGATGGCCGCAGGATGCGGTTGATGACATCAGTGGAAAGGCGTTAAGAGGCCGTTCCGACCACCTCGTGAATAGCACGTTGAGAATTCCACCCCATCTATACGCTTAATTACGTCATCAGGACCGCCTCACTTTCCAGACGTCGTAATCACTGCCTTTAAGGTGTTCGATAATGTTCGTAACATTACCATCTATGAGAATGTGCGCCCTAATTCGAACCTCGAGCACAAAGGAAAGGTTGAGAAAGGTGGAGACACAATGACTAAGATGAGGAAATCAAACTTACATTGTGTTCTAATACAACCTCATCATTGATAGCATTAATATTCGGTGCAGATGAGGACCTTAAGGAAGAAAAGTTGGAAAAAAAAGTTGGTAAATGCTAAGGTGGTCACGCCACATTTCGATGAATTTAACTGAACGACATTGTCCTCACCGATCTCGCGGATATGGAGCTAGAGGACCAGGTGCTTCTCTTGGTGCGGCACTTGCAGGTGGCTGATGCCTCTTCACACCTCCACCTCTTAATTACAATTCAATTTGAGCAGAGGAAACGACTACAACTAATACAGAGCACGTCCGTTCTATCGTGCAGAAAAATGTAAATAGTAAACCTCTTTAAGGTGAGGTCGGCATGACTTCCTTCCGGAGTGTGAGCAGGGCTGGGGTTGGGTTGTAATTGATTTAGTACGCTCTCAGCTATTTCGGCGTCCTGGCCCTCCATTCGTGATGCTATCAAAAGAAGGCGTTGAGCTAGCTGAAAAGAAGTAGTGCTACGTGCTGTTAGCTCCATGAATGTATACCCGAGAAGCATACGACCATTTAACACATTGCGTACCGCGTGCGCCACCATGTGGCGCACGATTTCACACGAAACAGCATAGTTTATCTGATTTATTTGGCATTTTTCAATGCTCCTGAACTGCTTGCACTCATTTTCAGAGATGGAAACCATACGTATCATCACTGATAAAATGGCAGAGAAGTGATGATATAGTTTTAAAATCACAAAAAGTAACAGAGACACCCTCACTAGGGCAGTCCGCAATGTGCTGAAGTGGATTTAAGGATTTCAAATGCATGTAAGCTACCGAGTATAGGACGTACTACTTGAGAAAAAACTGACCGCTTCGTCGCGTGGTACTGTCTGGATCAAATCGCAATAGAGCGGAGCAAATGAAGAACATCGCTGATGGAATTTGAACTGACAAAACTCGCATCGGTATCCCTGCGACATAGAATAAACATTGCACATGGGAAAACTTTTTGTGCGCTTGGTAAACTCTTACAATACAAACTTCAAGTTCTCCACAAGTCTTTGAAAAAAAACAAGATTATGACAGTTTCAAACTTGAAGCCTCATCAAAATAACTCACCACCAGCCAAATGGGATTCTTGCACACATCACAGTTCACAGGAGGAATGAACGTTCTTCTTACTATTGTGTGTTTGATAGAGCTGACCGTATCGAGATATTCGCTATGTACCCACAGCTCATTTTTCTCCAAACGCGATGCAATGGACTCCAGATCCTCCTTCAAATGAAAAACACGATAAGCTGCGCTTTTCCAAACAACGATGGATATTTAGTACATTGTCTATGTGTGAGTACAACTGAAAATTTTAACAGACACCCAATCTTTTTGGATGAAGAACTCAAAACAAACTATCAAGCAAACAGTTTTCGAAAATGACTACTGAATCGCACATAATTTGATGTGAGTAAAGCAGTACTCTAGGGCGGAAGTGGTGCAGTGACAAGTGGCGCGCGCTCACCACGCGAGCGGTCCGGGATCCTGGGTCGTGAGTCGCCCGGGCCAACCAAGCCTTCCATCCCTCCGGGGTCGGTTAATTGGTACCAGACTTGTCTGGGAGGATAAAAACACTGACTTGAACATCGGCTGGCCCCCGCAAGTCATTGTATAGGCCACATCGCATTCAAATGCCACTGCGAATGTACAAATGGAAGTAGAATGCGTGCCGCATCCCAAAAAGGGATTGATCAACGGCAAATGCTTTATCCTTTATTTTTTTTAAAGCAGTACTCTTAGAATGGAGAGTTCTATAGGTAACAGCTAGGAGCACATTCTACGACTGAATAAGAGTAATACTGCGTTTGGAAATGAAAATAGAGGGGTGAATCATAACGCCGAGAAAAAAAGCAAGACAGCGGCGGAGACACTGAAAACGAAAGCCTAAATAGAAGTCGAGGGCAAACATAGAAGAAAACACTGCACTTCGAAACGAAAAGTTCCGAAAATGAATGAAAAAAAGCTTTCAGATGAAGATACACCTAACCTGCCTCCTCCGCAATATACGCTTCTTCTGCGGAAAAGCCCTGCGACGGATCTGTACTCTAGCGCAATCCCCCCGCGCAATCCGTTTTCCGATATTTTCCGTTCATATGCGTATTTTTAGTTAGCATGATTTTTAATTATGTCATAATTTTAATCAAATGGGACCTATTACGAGGCGGCTTAAAATTTCAAAGCCCAACAAAGATATATCATTAAAAAAATTTAAAAAACAAGGTTTTGAAAATGTAAGTTGAAAAGCGAAGAGGAGCCAAGTGGTGAGCATTCAAAAAAAAAAAAAAGCAAGGGACAGTGTGAGAAACTCGGAGAACTCCTTTTGCCCATTCGTTTTAGGAGTAGGCGAGCTTTTACTATTGCAGGGGTCGGTCGAGTGAAGTTAAGCACTGGTATCAAAAGGCTATCGATAGGCTGCTGAGAGAGCCGGTTCAATAGTGCACTCACAATAGAAAACAGAATCAAACGATGGACGTATCGGTTCGATTTCAGAATCATGCGTTGTCACGCGTTCCACGTACCAGCGGTGAACGCATTTGAGGACCGAAGATACTTTCGAGACATATTCAACGCCTTAACATGGCGCTGATGCGCGTCTCCTGCCACAAAAGCCCAACCAATTGACTTACTGGACCCTTCTCTACTTTCTCCTTTAACGTCTTTCATTATCAAGAAATTCAGTTTCAGTGTAATTTTGTCCAAAAACTAAGATAAAACTTAATTTCTTCACTAATCGAACGCGGTTTCGTACTTTGAGCGCATGCGAGTTTTAACCTTCAAGTGAATTCAGGTTCCTTTAAAGTTGAAATTCTGCAAAACGCACAGAAAACTTCGAGATTCTGAGCCTATTAAATAGCATAACGATTAGTTTACACAGTAACTGCGCCAAAAAACTGTCGTATTGATCCTTTTCGGATTTTAGCGGTCCGATTTCTGACATGAGGATTTTTAACCTTTGAGCGCTACAAATTTTATTTTAGTTTCGACTTATAACAAGCCTGCATTTTGCGAAGGGAACTGGGTCTCCCCCACGCAAGGCTGGGTTTTCTAAACTTATTCAAACTGCTTTGAAAAATGATTGAGCCAAAAAGTCCCTTCGTTTTTTTCTGAGGTTTTTGGACGAACTTTCCTTTTGCATACGCGGACTTTCAACCTTTGAATGGCAGTAACGTTTTTTCCGAATAATTACGGTGAAATGGTGAGGGTAATAAAAATGAGTATGTGCTTCAATGAAGTGACGGGTGTGACCTGCAAAACACGAATATTTCTTTTCCCAATGCTTTCTTATGATCCCTGAGAGGTGGATTCGCCCAGAAAACTGCCCCTTCTTGCACAATGATTAGACATATAAGACGGGTTCTCTCTAGAACAATGTTTGTGTAAGTAACCTGAAACGTTTTGCGGTAAATGCTCCTGCTCTGAATGCGTCACGCTTTCGTATGTAGGTGCTTTCTCACACAGTTAACTTTTCCGTACATCTCTTCTGCAGCTCCATCCACAAACCCCACGTTTCCGCCGCATAGCTTTGCGCGTACGCAAGAAGGATGGTCGACACTGCTTTTGCCATTACCGACCCAGCTACCTTATCTCAAAAAATTTAAGGATGCTTCAGAGATTTGAAAGCTAATCTGAAAATTCGTAACAACTTCAAGGAATGAAGGCCCAGCTCTACTCGCATATCCTTTTTATTCTATAAACCGCTACTTGGTATGTCGGTTTGTATGTATGTCTGTCTGTCCGTCCGCAAAATGAAGTGAGTGATAAGGAAGCTCATGGGATAAACAAACCGCTAACAAATCGGGTAGCTTACAGGATTGAGATATCAATGTTTTGTAGCAGGATAATTGTGATAACACTCTACGGCTATATAAACACCTGCTTAGCACACTTCCGTTCATTCCACATGGTGCTGCAGTGGCAGCTGGAGGGTGTGGAGGGAGGGGAGGATGGGGAAGGGAGGCTAAAAACCATCACCAACATATTTGAGATGCAGTTGGGTATTGATACGTCATTCTACATTCACTTTACATTCCTCTTTTTGTTGCATACGCGTCACTTCCACGAGTGTTGGTGTCACAGGTGGAAGGGACCATAGCGGAAGGACGTAAAGCTTGCGCAGGGAGGGAAGGAGGCCCGGGCGGTTGACGGGGACCATTCTGGTGAGTTAAAAACCAGTCAATATTGTTCGTATCTGAATCTCACGCTCGATACCAACAGCTGCGAGATAAAGTGGTGATCCTACGAGTAACAGTTAACCGAAGTTAAACACATGTGTTGGAATAAAACGACTTGTATACAAAATTATATGAGGACGTACCATGAGGTCGATTTGTTCACTCCTCGGGTCTTCAGAGACGTTAACATGACAGAGTTGAGGGGTTATATTTCTTTTCTTCAGAAGTTTCGAAATCGCATCACGCGCTGTCTGTCCGGCTCGAACTTCCAGTCGCGAATGTTGATCGAATGGAAGGTGCACATATATCAACTTGCATGGGAGGCTAAACGACTGGTTTTAAAAACAACAGCTCACTTAGTGAAATTTATGTTTTCCACTGTAATGTTA